CCGCCCCCGCAGGTACCGGGGAGGGGGCGGCGAGGCGGGGCCGGGCCGGCGGCGGGGCGGAGCCGGGGGTGGTGGGGGGTGCCCGCCATGTTCCCCTCAGGGCGGGCTGGGCCCGGCGGCCGGGGGACTCGGGGGCGACCGAACCCCCCCAATGGCTCCAGAGGGGACCGTAGGGCCCGTGGAGGTGCTGGGCCCCGAGGGGGAGCCCAGGCCGGGGACAAAGCATGGTCTCCCCGGGGTGTTTCATAGCATCATGAGGTGATTTGGGCTGGAGGGAACCTCAAAGATGACCCCCCCCTGCCCGACCCACCTCCCACCACAGCAGGCTGCTCCAAGCCCCGTCCAACCTGGCCCTGAACACCTCCAGGGATGGGGCAAAGAGTTGTGATTTAAGAGCCCGTGTGGCTTTGCCCAAATAACCTTACTGATGCACCCAGCGAAGCCCAGCCAGGCCTTACCCGAGTTTCATACATTAATCAAAAAAAAACAAACAAAACCAGCTTAGCCTTTTGGCCTCAGCGATTTCTATCAACTTTCTTCATTCAACATTTATTGATATGACAAACCGTATCTCTACGGCCAGCCCGAGGAGTACCGACCATTAATCTCCTCACGCATTTGGCACTGAGGATCATCTCTCCTTCCCCGTCTTTGCCGGATAAAGACATTACTAGGAAAGAAAAGCGGCTTCGAGCAAGCGGCGCAGTAACGCTGGAGCTGTAAAAAAACAAAGCAGGGAAGGGACGTTTCCCCAAAAGCAGCTGGAAAATTTCTCAGCTCTACAAGAATCCTGTACAGAGACTTTTCATGCTGCAGCATCAGGGCTGCAGGAATAAATCATGGAAATACCTTATCTTGATAAGTTTCCCCCTTCACTGCTTTTTTTCTCCTTCGTTGTTATTTCCACAGGGAGAAGATAATTTCACTTACTGTCCAGCAACAGGCCTAGCTAAAGGAAATGAGCACTCGGAATTCGCTGGCTGGGCATTTCCATTTCCAGGGGTGTTTCTGACGGAGGAGTTCATTAGCGAAGATGAAGAATCTGAGATAGTTGAACTGATGGATCGAGATGACTGGAAACCATCACAGTCTGGCCGAAAGAAACAGGTTTGACTTGAGAAACCCATCTGTTCTTAGATCCCTCTGGAAAAGGAAAGCCGTTTTCAGTTAAAACCCAAAATATTTAGATGTTTCATTAAACGTTTTCCTTTGAAAGCTTTTCCTGAAATCAATTGCAAGAATTGCTTGCAGTTAAAGTCAGCTTCTTGCAAAAATACATGATAGTTGCAACAAACAGTATTTGATGGTGCAGTTCACACAATCTCCAAGTGAAATAAGTGAGGTTTTCAACTTGTTTTTATTTTACTGGTGAGAAACCCAACTCCAGGTAAATTAATGTAGCTTCTCTGAGTCCTTTTGCAACCTGGTGACCAGGTCACTGGAAGAGATGAGAAAAGAATTCAAAAGTTGAAAAGAACTCAAAAGTCTTGTCCGTGAGCCTTGAGGGGATCACAGCCCCTCCAAAAAGACTCGTCCTAGATTTTTCCCCAACACTAACTTTTTCCACCCTCTTCTTTTCCAACAGGACTACGGACCCAAAGTGAACTTCAAGAAACAAAGGCTGAAAGCTGGCAGCTTTACCGGTTTGCCAAGTTTCAGTAAAAAGATTGTGGCGCAAATGAAGGCCTGCCCCGTGCTGGGCGGCTTCTTACCTGTTGAACAATGTAACCTGGACTACAGGCCAGAAAGAGGTTCTGCCATCGACCCACATTTTGATGACTGGTGGCTTTGGGGAGAGCGCCTGGTTAGCTTAAACTTGCTCTCAAAAACCGTGTTATCCATGTCTTGTGATTCCGAGGACACTATCCAATTATTTCCCACTTTCAGTCAAGAGAATGGGGAATTAAGTCCCCCTGGACCTTTTACACAGACGTCAGCCTGCAAGAATTCAGACGGGGAGGGAATCAACCGCGTTTTATCCCCGTGGCTTGTTCCGAGTAAGGAGGTGACTGTCGCCGTCCACTTACCCCGGCGGTCTCTGGTGGTGCTGCACGGCGACGCGCGGTACAAGTGGAAACACGCCATTTACCGCAAACACATAGAGGGTCGCCGGGTGTGTGTCACCTTCAGGGAGCTGTCTGCGGAGTTCAGCGCCGGCGGGAGGCACGGGGAACTGGGTAAAGAACTGCTAGAAACAGCTCTCTCCTTCCAAGGAAGGCCCGTGTGATCAGCGAGAGGAAGCGGGCGGCGCCGTTTTATGTTTAGGAAATTCGAATTTGAAAAATAAAGCACAGGATTTTGTACAACTCGGTGTATTCCTGACACGTGCGTTAAGGAACCGGGTGTGTATAGAGACAGAAATTTAACAAACAGAAATAAGAGAGGGTGAGGGAGGGGTGGGGTGCTTGTTGCTTCAAAGACAGTGAAATCTCCCGGGCAGTGGGAGCTTTTAGGCAAAAGTGAGAAATAAGCTGTTGTATTCATCAGCTGCATCGTGGAAAAAAACACACGCAAAAAAAAATACTTAAATTAAACCAAGGAAGAAACTTAGAATCATTAAACTGAGTGTCAAGCAGCCCTTGGCACAGATTTCAGCCCAAGCCCTGCAGCAGATTTTAACCTTTCCTGGCCTGTAGTGGGTTCTCTCCCACCGCTCTCAGCGCTGCGCTGGGCCCTAGGGACACAACTGTCTTCTCACCCGCTTCAGAGAGCAGCTCTCCAGGGGAGGAGGGTAAGCAAGCACCTCTCCACAGATAACACAACACACTGAGAACTAATTAAAGTAATTATTCCTGTGCTGAAGAGAGGTGCTCTAACAGGGAGGCTTAATCATAAATACTGTGTGTGACCTCTATCTTCTGGGACCCACGAGCAGAGGGGCGATGCCGACGCTGGTGCAGCGACAGCTTGGGCAGAGTTCAGAGCAAGGACTCGCACAGACTGTGTTATTTTCTGATCATTTGTCATCTCTGAACCCCGCTGTCAACTGTCAGCAGCAGGAGGCTGATTTGGGGGAAGGAGCTGGGCAACAGACTGCGGCACTGGCGGCTATCATTTTTTTTCTTGGCACCTCCAAGCAGCCAGGTTTGAGTCATGCCTTGTACCTAAGATTCAAGTAGTCATTTGTAGCAGAAGCTGATTTGAGGCCATCTGTCTGCTCCGAACAAACTTCTGTGCTCTTGAAAATGGAGTTGTGCCACGGAAAAAGTGTGAGCCTTTATTAAACACAGTTGTGTCACCACAACCATTCAGCACAGTCACACCTCCAGCAGTAAAACACAGCGCTGCCTGGTTTTAGTTGGTAAGGAAAGGGGGACATTTCATTATTTGGAAATTTATACATGGGATTTCAGCATCCCTGCACAGCTGGATTCTGCCCTGGAAGTTCTTCCATGGCACAACGCAGAGGTTTTACTGTATGGAGATGCACGAGGGAGGGAGCTCTTCACCCAACAAAACACTAGAAATCCGTTGGGTGAATCAGGCTATTTTTTTATCGGTTTCAGCTAACAGATAAAACTACAGTCCTTTGTAGCTGTTTCAGTTTAGCCCAGTATTTAAAAAGCTGTGAACATCTACGTGGTAATTCCAACAGGGATTCATGAGAGGGGCTCCCATGGGCAGCCCTGAACCCCAGACCTCCCCCAAACCGATGGCCGAGCGTCCCCGATGTGCTCCAGCCATGGTTTCGGCAGTCACCGTGTGCCATCTCTGATGGGAACCCACCACTGCAAACCAGTATACCACAGGCTGGCCACACTCACTCAAAACGAGCTTTATCCCAGGAAATCACTCATCATCTGCCACCGCTCCAGCTCACTCCCAAAAGCAGGACCTCGTGCTCTCAAAATACCAGTTTCTAACCTTTTTCTGGCAGACTGGCGCGACCACCACTGCGTCGCCGGTGTCCGTGGGGCTCAGTGATGTCCACACAGGCCACCAGGAGCTGCCATGGGAGCGGAGGACCTTGGGCCAAGCAGGAGGACACGGCTGGGGCCCAGCACAAAGCCACACAACGGGAGGAAACCCTTTCACAGATAAAGCAAACCTTGAGCCCGTATCCTCACCGTCCTTTCAGTGCAGAGCCTCTCCAGCAATCAGCTCTTTGCCCAGCAAACTGTGGCCACGGAGCGTTTCCATTAATGCTTGGCCCTTATTTCCAATGCTCCCTTTTAGATTGATATTGTGCTCTCAGCCCATTAAAATACTTTCTGCGCGCGTACCTGCTGTTTCATTCTCTCTGCGGTGAAAGCAGATGATGGCTTCCGATGAATCACAGCCACAATAACAAGATACAGATATTAGCTCGTTTTGTGCTCTGCATTTGTTAGCTGACTTTTTCTGCCTCGATCGAACTATACGGCAATACGCTGTTCTTGCCAGAAAATTCCAGCTCTTCCTAGTTGGTATCTTCAATGTGAAAAAATGCAAATCATTAAATACTGAGCCAAAAACTGAGGGCTTTGTCTAGATGGTTTTGAAGCCCAAAACGTAACCTACTCACTACACAGTCATTGTTACGTCTTTCTTTTGACACTTTTCATCTGTTAAACAGCCTCTTGGGCATCATCTGAGACCAAAATGCAGTTGCACACGTCGGTTCTGTGTTACTTTCTAAAACTTTACGTACATTCTCTCCTAAGAAGCCAGAATCGCAGCGTTGCAGAACATTTAACAATTGGTTTGGACTCTCCAGTATCACAGAAATCTGAGAAAAGTAGAAAGAGGTTTTAATCTTAATTAATTAGCTCTCAAATATAATTCCAGCTAGTGTTCCTAATGTGAGACAAACTTTAATGATCTTCGTGTTAGAGGAATCCCTATCACAGTTGTTTATCTCCTTAACCAAGATTAGCACTTGTAAAACACACGCCAAGAAACAGGCCCTCATTAAAAGGAAGTGCATCTAATTGTTATCTACTTGTGTACTTAAAAAGGAGAAGGATAATATCTAACCAAGCTTTTTTTTTTTTTTTAAAAAAAAAAAGGCAAAACCCAAGTTAACCCATAGAGGATGCTGGAGGACTTGATCTGCCTTTCAAAAAAAACCAGTCTGAAATCAGCCAGAAGCGTAAAACTGAGCAAGTTTATCCAGTTTCTGTCACGCAGCTGGACAATAACTGAGATACACACATTGTTCTACATTAAATATTGTTCATGCAGAGATAAAACAAAAATAGGCAAAGCTAAAATACAGAGATTTTTTTTTTTCCTCCTTAGCACTTAGCGAACCCCACGTTGGAGACACAGGTATCGCTGGAGGTGCTTTCCAAATTCAGCCAGGCAGTAATTACTGAAACCCCTTTGTCTGAAACGGGCACAGAGGAGACAGCCTGCGAGAAGTTAATCAGAAAATAACCACACTGACCCAGTTGTGCCAGGACCTGAATTCAAGGTTGTGGCGTGCTGGGGGCAGGGGGGGAGTTATTGGGGAAGCTGTCTTAAAAGTAGATGCAACAAGAGGATAAAGAAGGTCCAGCAGCAGCGAAAGTCCCAAGGTCTTTTGTCTGTTTTAAGGCAGGGAAAGAAAAAGGACCTTATGAAATCCCATGGAAAGGCAAGAGGAGGACATGAAGTGTGAGCAATCCCACAGCCAGGCACCCTGCACCCCCATCCCCGAGCTGTCCCTGTGGGAAGCTGGGGTGACCAGAGCTGAGTCCCAGCCTCAGGGACCCGAAGGATGTTGGCTGTGTGTCTGCACCCACCCCCCCAGCTCTCTCTAAACACTTCCACATAGCTGAACGCTTACCGCAGCGCGCGCTCCACCCCGGGCTCTCGCACGGTATCGCTTTCATCCATCACGTGGGTCAGGCCCCACACGGTCGAATCCAACATCTTCTCCATCTCCCCCCGGTCATAAAGCTTCCCCGAGAGTCACATATCCACCGAGACAACGGGGCGGCAGCTACCGGAGCCAGGGCTGTCCCCAGGGCAACGTTAAAAATAGGGAGCTGGCAAAGTCAGAGCTGCCACTAACCCACAGCAAAGGGAGAACCCGATACTGCTCCCTCCGGCTCGCGTTCGTGCCCGGTCTTGACTCCTGCTAACGAGGGAAGGAGAGAGAGGAGTTGCCTCTTAAACCAGGTGCCCCAGGAACGACACAAAGCAGGGCCGGACCCCTGTCCTCAACAGCTCCTTTCCCTGCTTTAGGAAGGGTCTTCCCAGTGCTGCTGGAGCCTGCAGAGGCATTTTTCTGCCGGGGAAAAACTGTGCAAAAAAATATCTGAAAGAGGACTCTGGGCTCTGGAGTGAGATCGTGGCCGTCCCCTGCAGCAAGTCAAGGTGAGCCCCACTACAGAAACTGGAGAAATGGCCCAAACAAGGCAAGAACTGGTCCAGAGAGTCACAGCCCAAGGGAGCTGAGAACGGGGGCAAGAGCCATCCCAACCTGCAGCACCCCAGGGCCCATGGTTGACATGGAAAGCTGGCACATGTCAGGGGAAATCCTGGACACACCTCCCAGCCCAAGCATACGACTCCTGGGAGAAGCATCCTTGTGGTGGCATCGCAGGAACGGAGCCACCAGGAACTCGGGAGATCCCAGGAACGACAGACACCCCAGGAATGAGAGAGAGGTGACAGCACAGGAGGGAGGTGGCCAGACAAACCCAGCTGTGACCCAGCGTGCTGCCAGCCCCGCTGGGACACCAGCGACGGTGTGGAAAGGCAGGCATCTCCCTGCTTGACTGATGGGAATCCTGCTGAGGGCCACGGGGGCAGCAGCAGAAGCAAGGAGGATTTCTCTGGCGTTGTAGCACAGAAAACATCCATCTGGACAAGCACAGCATCCCTGCTCCTTTACGGATGAACGACCGTGGCTGGTGCCACAGGAGATCTTTCCACTGGACCCAACAGCAGTGAAAAGGTAAACAAGGTGGAGAAAGAGAGGCAGGGACAAGAAAAGCAAATGCTGTTGTTGGGGAAGGAGGAGGAGAGGAGTTCCAGCACCAAGGTGATGGGTAACCCGGAGAGATCCCACACAACAGAGACAAAAAGTACTCCCGCAGGGTTCTCATGGAAGGGAGAGCTCAGTGCCCAGAGACACAAAAAACAAAGCTGAGAGCAAAGATGGGAATTCACATTATTATTCTGTTTTAAGTGCATTTGCCCTCGGGACACCATCTCAAAGCGTACCTCAGCCTCCCTGCGATCGCACTCCAGTCACTGATCCGCTGTCTTGAGACTTATCTGGAGTCCAGTCCCACCAGAGCCTCACCAAGTTATTCTACAAAAATCAAAGCACAGTTTCTGCTGCATTTCTCCATTTGCTGAAATTTATTATATTTGCAAAGAATTAAATGAACGATCTGGCTGTTTCCAAGCGAGCTGCATTGCTTTCACAGCACTGAGTACACGCTGTGAAGCTCAATTTTTATTTTTAAATTACAAAAAACGGCTCAATACTTTCCTCAACCCCTTGAGCTTCACATTACATAGAGTCCTATTATTACTGATGTTAAAGGAAGACTGCAAAGTACAGAGGAGAGAGTCATCTTATCTGGTCTGGCTCTGGCCTCACAATAGAAATTTTGTTGGTAGAAGAGCCTACGTGTGTAATAACTGGCAGAAAACTCAGCTGTGATTTTGTTGTATAAACCTTTAATTTTTATTATGGTAAAAAGAGGAGGGAGAGAGGGCAGACTCCTGGGGAGATCGTATGAATTTCACGACCACCCACTTCCTGGAGGACACTTCTGATTTTTCACATATGTGCCTAAGTACAGACTAGTCATTTAGCACACAAAGACTATTTTCTTTGCTGCACATCGGCCAATATGGTACATGCCAACTGCGGCAAGAACAACAGATGAAAGCCACAGACACAGTGCTAAGCAACTTGTTCAGCGATGCTCGAACGCGCATGTAAACAAGAGAGATGAGAGTTGGGTTCCCCAGGCCCTCGACAGAGAGGAATACAGGGATAAGTCTCACCCTGCTGCACTGGGATTTGCCTGTACTCCCCGTTCTGGGAAGCTGACATGTAATACGCTGCCATTAGATTGCTCAAATCCCAGTGGAATAAGGGAGCGGGGTTAAATAGAACATTACAAACATCCTTAATGATTTCAGAGACCTATAAGGCCTGGGACACTCTGCAACTGCAACATGGGAGTGCAGAGCAGGAAATCTGCACAGGATCAGGGCCAAGAAAACGTGCTCATGCTCCTCTCAGCCCTGTGTGGCAGAAAGCCTCACTTTCCCTTAAAAAAAAGCTGATGATTGCAAACCACTCTTTTCCCTCCGCGAAGTTACCATAAATCATAAAATCATTTTTCCGGGAGTTTTCACCCACAAGGATGCTACAGAATTTACAGGCTTCCCTTGCTAAGCAATACAGACGTGCAAGTATCGTTTTCTCTGCTGCTGAGAGAGAAAGCCAGCTCAAATGAAAGGCGATAGCTCTTTAATGGCACACAGCTCTCCCGCCGCATCCAGCCCCGTCAGACTCGCCAGCACTGCTCCAGGTTCCACCAGAAAAGTTGCCTGCTTTGGTGGAGGGGGAAGGAAGCGTTCTTTTTTGACAGAGAAATGCTACAGCTGACAGAAAAAAAAAACCAAACCCAAAGAGCTGATGAAATAGGCAGGACTGGGGACTGTTCTCTCCAGCAAACCAGGCAAAGACACTGCAATAATACATAAATGAAGACAACATCGCGACAGATTTCTACAACATGCTATATGCTGTCACTCCTTACCTCCTTGAAACTTGCTTTTCTAGTCCTTCAAAGTTTTGTCTCATTAAATTCCCTGTCACTGTTCTGTTTTAAGAATGTCCTTGTTAGAACTAAAACACCTGTAAGCCTTCCCTGGGCACTTTTGCCTCTTATTGGGAAAAAATACATGATCTTGGCATTCATTCAGCCTAAAGTGACAGATGCTAAAGTACAACAGAACTTCCCAGCCTCCTGCAATTCGAAATTCTACCTCCCCAGCTGTAAAAATATAGTAAGGAATAGCAAGAAAAAAAAAGAAGAAAAAAAAACAATATAAAAGCTAAGGCTGATTTCTTTCTGGTTATGTATTTATGGAACACTTGCTTTGGAACAAAGGTGACCAACACTCACAGTTTCTATTGTGCTTTCCTGGATGTCCTCAAGTCAGCTGCAGATACCCTCATTAACCAGCTCAGCTCTAGAAACGAGCTGCCAGTTAATTGCTGCTGCACCAACAGCCAAGGAGTTCTGACACATAAGACAGATCCTACACACACACACACACTGGTGTTTTGAACAGCTGATGCAGTTTGACTTTTGGCAATGGAATATTGCATTTGTAAAAAGCCCAGATTTTTGGCTACCTGAACCATAGTTAAGGTAGATCAAGTTTTGACCTTGAATTCCACGGCAGTGTTGATTTAAGTCTGCGAGTGTGTAGGACCAGAAACGGGCCAGAAACCCCGGCATCTGAAACAGCGCTAGAACCCACAGCAATATAGGGCAGGCAATTAGCATTTACATATTTAAGCCTCAAGACAATCCACCAGTGGGGCATCTCACCGACTAGCCAAACAGGGATTTTGCTCGTAGCCTCGGTGTGCTGGAAGCAGCCTCTGCCTCCCTGTCACACTACCTGCATGCCTCTGTCATGCCCGTCTAACTGCACTTTCAGTTTGTGAAGCTCTTCGATCTCCCGGTTGTGGCGCTCCGTTTTGTGCCGCACCAACGAGCGGTAGAAGTGAATGGTGAAGACGACAAAAATCAGACCCACTGGGACCATGATGATGGTGGAGACCAAGGCCGACTGCCAACCTGCGTGGCCGCTGGGCTTCTCGGCGTTGGCGGTCTCGTTTTTCAGGATGGAGCCCACGGGCAGGAATTTTATCCAGCACAGAAGCACGACTTCTGCAAGGAAAAGGAGGATCCCCAGGACGGTGGAGAAGCCCCACGCCAGCTCGATGTAGGGGTGCATGCGCTCGTGGGGGGACTCGCTGATGGAGTTCAGGTTGTGGATGTTGCTCACTGCTTCCACGTTGGGCAGGATGCAGGTGCTGATGAGAAGGGCAAAGAGATGAACTGCCACCAGCACCGTCGTGCAGGCGCTGAAAGCGATCAGCAGCATCTGGGGGTACTTGTACTGCACCTCCAGCTGCACCTCCACCATGGCAACCTGGGGAGGGAAAAAGGAACAAAAAGCTCGTCAACAGCTGCTAGTTATCCTCTTTTCAAGGCTTTCATCTTCCTTCATTCAGGAAGAACACCTAAGGTCAAGTACACACTCAAGTGCTTTTTGGAATGGCAGCCTAGATGGATCATTTCTGTTTCCCAGGAAGACGTACACGAGGCTGCAGCTTGGCCTTTCCAACGGCTCAGGCGCAATTTTCTGAAATAACATTCTCTCCCCTCACAACCGTGAGCCATACGAACGGCATCAAACCCCAACACACAACAGAAGGAGCACGTTAGACAGCACGTGGAGCTCGGGGGCAGCTGACAGCCTGCTAGCCCCTCACGCCTTCTCCTTCCGCTCCTCACTCGCGGCTGCCGCGCAGGAAGTTTCGACTTCGGGCGCGTAAAAGAAAAAGCAAAAGCAAACAGGTCTTCTGGCCGGGGGCCAGGCAGGTTTCACTACCACCCCCCCCATGGGAACCACGCAAGCTACTTCATAATTCCGCAGTTAAAATAGCTGCCTTCTATTCTCAGAACATTGTACGTTCGTTTTTATTACAAATATGCCCAGATATGAGTTATTTATATCCTCAAATTTCTCCCTTGAGAGCTAATAACTTACCAATGGACTCAGCAGAAGTAGACTGCTACTGGCTTATGGGTGTGCTCAGCAGCCCAGACAGGAGTCTGTTTTCTCCCAACAAGAGCTATCGTATAGCAAGTCTCTAAAGCTGTCTCTTTTTTCTTTAAGCAAATAAAGCATAACAAGCAGAATAAGTGCAAGAGAGCAGGGGGCTTTCCTCAGATCAGAACTGGAGTCCTAGTACAGGCCTGTTAACTGGTTTTGCGTAAGAATTTGTAAAATTACTTAACCTAACTGGGAAGTAAAATAGTATTTCGGTGCAGTGCCACCCCTGAAAGGACTGCAGACACCTTTTGCTAAGAGAAGCCACAAAAACAGCAGACAAAACTATGAAATATTCCTCTCTAGGAACTGTTCCGATTATGCACATGTGGTGGTTTTACTTTTTTTTCTGTTTTGTTTTGGTTTTTTTTTTAAAGGTTCCTGTTTGCAGTTTACAGTAGTTCTTGGTGAAGAGCACAGAAAATAACAACGCGGGATTTGGCTTCACCATCTATTGCAAGGTCCATTTAGTAAATTAAAACACATTACACATTGCCTTGCATATGCTCTCTCTGCAGTTCCCCTTACATCGATCCGAGGAGGAGGAGGAGGAGATCAGACTTATTCTCTGCTGCCCTGTTCTGCACGATGAGCTTACGCAGCGCTGTGATTGTCAGTCTCACCCTATCAGCCCCGAAGAGCTCCAGGTATATTGTTCATTATCGGGTGCTGTAACACCCAGAGACATAGCACTCAGCAAGCTGAACAGGAATTGTACCTGCATGTTCAATTTATAGCTTTAGATTAAAGCTGAAAGCCTGGCCGATGTCAACATATCAATTTCTACTTGTTATCCTTCGCATGAGCAGCACTTTCCAGCTAATTGGATGTTTCCTCCCAGACTAACCTATTCCCTAGGGCTAGCTTCAGCTGTGCAAAGTGATGAATTTTTAACACTGACTGATGGCTCAGTAAGAGGTATTTCAAGGAAAAAAACATCAACAATCCAGATAGGGCAGCAAGGCAGAAAAAACAGCTCATTTAACTCGAACAAGTGCTGGAAAGGTGAGTGAGCTCTTACGGCTTTACCCCGTACAGACTGTCACGTCATCCTCTGACCGGGATAAGAGAAAGAGGACAAGCTGACATAACCCATTTAAAAATCATTAAATACTCTGCTTAGTCTGGAGAACTATTAATATGTCATGTTTGATACAATTATACTCTTCCGTGATAACAGCCCCCTTTATTTTAACCTCTTCCCAGTCAAGCCAAGGGCTTGACTTTGCAGGGCACTGAGGACTCCGCCGAGGCGCAGGGTATTTCAGCATAGGCTTAATTTTAAGTTTGAGAACCACCCTGTTGAGCTCCACACCCACAGGCTTTCTAAAGGACCAGATACTCAGCACATTTTAGAATTAAACTGCAATTAAATTACATGCAATTATAGGGCTTTTTTAGACCAGTATAGCCCAGATTGTCCACAACAAAGATGATGGACACGGAAGATTTCTTGAGAAATTTAGACCAGGATAGCTAGTATCAGGCAAAAGGATGACAAATGGCTTAACATAAACCACGTTACATTCCCACAGATGGTCTGGCAGCCTGTAAGAACAATCACTCCAGTAGATGTCTCAGGGTTTTGTTTTGCTTTTTAAAATCAAATACATATCCTGTAGCAATTAGACAAGTATTGAGAAGACTGATTAGCAGTAATAGCTCTTATTTCCATCAGGAAAGTTATTAAGGAGGTTTCCTAACCTCCCTCTAAATCTCTTCCATCTTTAGGGTCCCTAGGACAAAAGCAGTAGCCCTCAGCCCACTTCCAAACAGAGCTGGCACTGGAAAGGACCCACAGCCTCCTGATCTGCCCAACTCTGCCAGAAATACCAGAGACAGTAACGAGGAAGGTTCGCATTATTCTGCAGCCTGTCCAGAAGGAGCTGGATCAAAGCCACCGCCTGTTGATTAAATATCCATCAGCTCGTAATAATTTTCAGCCAATATGGAACTGGCTTGAATCAAACACACTGACAGGGAAGTAAATAAAGGAATAGCCAAGCCCTGTATGACATTTGTTTACATAGTTAAATGCACACAGGGCTTCAAGGAAACTCTTTAATTCTAAATAACTCCTCTGCTTTCATCAACAGCCAAATAGATGCTCTTATTGGAGAGTAAACATCCGTGTAGCAAATACCTGCCTGCCAAATTACCAGCGCAGAAATAACCTGGTAGGAAGGGATACCCCAGCTTTCACTGGAAGGTCCAGTATGATCAGCAGGGAAAAAGCTTGCTAAGAAAGAAAATTCCTTACTGCAAAAATTTGTATTTCCGACAAGTACTGATTTCAAGTATACTTATTATGTTAGGCTGGTGATTATAATTAACACTATTTATACCTACGCATTTATTTGACTTGCATTTTAAATACTTTAAAGAGAAGTCAAACGGTTAATTTTGTGTGTTTGCCAAGGACTTACAGCAACTTGCTGTTGTGTGAGTTGAGAAGGCACGCTTTGTTTTCAGATGGGTAGCTCAGCCCCACAGTGTGGGTGGGCTGCAAGCAACCCCCCCCAGTCCCAGTGATGCCAGCGACAGCCCACCCCAGCACCAGCACCTGCTCCTGTAACCATGCTGCCTAGATAGTTGAGTTCACAACAATAATAAACGTTCATTTAATCATCATGTTAAAGAGAAGAGTCACAAGTGATGAACACAGAACTTGGGGAGCCCAGAGGTACAAAGTGTGAGCACACGAGCGGCTTTTGAGAGTTAGAAAGCTTTGGAGGGAAAGAGATCTGCAGGAGAGCACTCAACTTTCTCCAAATGAGGAGGTGCTTTCTGCCATTCCAGCACGCCAGTGTGGTTACAAACCAAGGGAAGCTGGGTGAAAAGGTTTTGCAAGCATCACTCACACACAGCCAGAGAGGGGAGAGAATCGCAAAGCGACCACGTGCCCTCTCTCCCCTGCAGCCTCTTCCCACTTCACTCCCCGCTCACGTTTCTCCAGCTTCACTTTGGGGCACCAACTTCGTCACCCCAGGCTTGTCATGTTACAGATGAGTCACGCTCTGGGGGATCAGGGAAGGAAAAAGCATCAGAAGCAGCTAAAATAAAACAAGGAAAGCTATCCAGAAAGTTCCCGAGAACTTTTTCACGGTGAGGGTGGCAGAGCCCTGGGACAGGCTGCCCAGGGAGGGTGTGGAGTCCCCTTCTTTGGAGATTTTCAAGACCCGCCTGGCTGCTCCTGAGTAACATGCTCTGACAAGCTCTGGGTGGTCCTGCTTCAGCAGGGGAGTTGGACTAGATTATCTCTAGGGTCCCTTCCAACTCTAAAAATTCAGTGAAATTCAGTGAAATCTGTTTTCTCCCCAGCTTCTGAGCTGCAGGACGAACCACCTCCACATCACCTCCTGCTCACCCAGGAGCTGCCCTCTGCCTCTCTGCGTTCAGCTGACAGACCTCGGGAACACCCAGACCTGCCCATTTCCTGAGCAGAAACCTCCCCCAAAACAGGTTTCAATTCTCACTCCCAACAAGCCAGTAGCAGAGGGGAGACAGAGAGGCTCACACCGACACACCACGGCCCTGCTTTGCTTAACACCATGGCCCTGGACCACTGACTGTCTCCACCTTGTTTATTTCCTCGCTCCCTGACATGGCTTTGACCTACGCAGATCGCTTCCAGATAACACCCAAGTGGTGCAGGGAGGAAAGCAAGTACCAGGGATTATCCCCAATAGGCAGCACTGACAAAAATACACCAGGTTTGGCTGCCTTCAAGCTACAGAGCCCGAAGCTGCGGGGCCTCTTCTCACACCTCAGCGTATAACACGATCTCCCCGATCACGCTACGCACACTTCGCTCTGGCAGACTGTGACCCAACCTCCACCTTATTTTAGACGCCGTGACCTGAAAAAAACCACACACCAGAAATTAAGATAATGTTCAGGACCACAGGGACCGCAGGGGCCCGGAGGAGCTCCACGCCCAAGCGCAACCTCACGCGAAGGCAGCCAGCGATGAATGGCCTCGGGGCCCAGGTGCCGTATTGTTTAGCAACCATTGAAAAAGTGCTGGCGGAGCATTTTGGATCGCTTGCAGGTAGGGGATTAGTAATTTTAAAGGGCTGATTTGGGAGTGCGTGGGTTGACTGTTATGCAGCTCATGTATCCTTGAGAGAGCCAGCCTCAAACTTTTCAGCAGCAGCCAAAGCAGAAGCCCCCAAGGCAGATGCCTCCTGCCTTTTCAGAAAACAGCAGCATGTCCTGCGTCTTCCCGGGAGGAAAACACTGATTAATAGATGATTTTAGAGAACCAAAACCTTCCTGATTCAGAAAGTGTTGCTACGAAGTACACGTACCATTGCAAATCCAGAGAGCAGAGCAGAGGTTCTGCTGGAAGCTTTCAGTTTGGCTCGGCTCAGGTACAATTTTCTCCAGGAAAGGGCTTGAACGGAGTGGTGGTTTGATGTGACCAATTCCAGATAGCTGCGCCGCACCCAGTCCCGATAATCCATGCCTTTGGTGCCAGGTTCAGAGCAGCAAGCAGGAGTGGAAGGATCCACCGGCACGTTTAATTCAGCACTCATGATGAGAGAAATGCTGAGGGAACAAAATAATCACGTTCAGGAGGAGGCAGCAGACAGGACAAGCATCGACTGCTAGAAAAGCTAGGTTTAAATAAAGTCACCCTCAGTCAGTAGAAAAATACCATCACACTCACAAGGCACAGAACAGGGAAAGGACCACCCTTAACTGCTAAAAATGACTGTTAAGAACTAGGAAAGATTACACAGGTAAAGCCAGGAGCTGCTCCAGCAGGGATTCGGAAAGGCTGCACAGCATCTGGCTTTTCATTTCAAAGCTGGCATCTCGGCTTTCCCCTGTAATTCCTCCTTGCTCGTAACTAATTTGTTTTACGTACAGACGCTTTGGAAATAGGGCCCCCATCTCACCATTTCATTTTAAGCTGACAGTTAATTTCACAGCACATCATGGATTGGCTCCAAACGCATCTCCTTAGAGTACCAAAGTAACACCAGTGAGCACGTTCAGGGAGTTTTTGTGCTCTTTCTTTTGAAACCAGTTGGGTTTTTTTTTTTCTGATTAAACCATTGCTCATCATAGCTCAGCTCAGACAGACACAGTTCTTCCCCGAGACTTCCCCGGTAGTCACAGAGCTGAACGCTGTGTAGGGTTAACAAATGAACTTCCTGGCCTTCTGCAGTGGGAAGTTAAATTTCCTGAACTGCTCACACACCCCTTATCAGCCCCATCTGATGAAGAATCCTCCTCCCTTACTTCCGCCGGTAGCTCTTAGCACGGGGGAAAGGAAAAGACAATTCCAAGGGGAAAAGCGAGCCGCCTTCCAGCTAGTTTCAGCATCTTCAGATTCAAGAGATTACACTGAAAGATGTAAGAAAGCAGCAAAGCTGTTTCAGGCACTGGGTGCCACAGCTGTGAGAAGAGACAAGTGTGGGGTCCAAGCCACCCCCTGCCCACACCACACCATTGCTGGGCTGCTGCCGGATGGGTCTGGTGATCTCCAGCTCCGGTGACCTCCACGCCATTCACAGAGATGGAACAGAATTCCCTAAATGCTTTGAGAAAAAATTTCTCAAATGACTTACCAGCTCCTAGGAGGAGGAGATGCCCGCCTGGAATCACGCACGGCGTGGTACTAATTAGTCCCAGCACCACACCTCAAGGTCACAGGCACCTCGCTGTTGGCTTGAGAGGAGCCCCACAGCCCTGCTCGCATCCCCCCGCCTCCACCCAGCCCTCCCTCCGCTCGGGCCACACGGCGACAGCTAATAAACCCACATTTGCTGTGAGATTTGAGGAAGTGGCAAAGATAAAAAGGACATCAACTGCCCACATCTCCGAATGCTACTACTGAAAAGGAACAGAGCCATTCCAGGCACAGTAAGAAAGCTTTTGCAGCAGCAAATAAAGCACTGCAGGGTCGTAAGAGTTGTCTGTCCCTCCTGGGCATGGTGGGATTTCAGATTCCAGCCCCCTCAGACATAATAAGGATGGCAGCAAGAGCACAAGACTTGTTTTTCCGGGCAGGTTTTGACAAGGCCACTATTACAGCCCCTGGAGGACGCCAGGATGGCTCCTGAACTGCTCAGCAGTTTTCAGATTATTAAAAAGAAAAACAAACAAACCAAAAGTAAAGGAACTTTCACACGACAATGAAAACCAGAACAGAGTAACAAGGACAAACCTCCTCACTTGCTCTGTGTTTCCAGAAAAAGGTAAGAAACACCTATTTTTACAGAAGTAGGGAAAAAAACCACCAATCTCTCCCCAAGGCTGCTGGGAGGATCGGAGCAGAGACATTCTGTGAGCAGCAGAAGCTGTTTCCTGTGACAACATCCTGTGTGGATTCTGCAACATACAGTGTGGGGTGAATTTATTTGCTTTGTCCATAGTTGGGACACTGAGGGCCTCTACCCTGCCACTATTTTCACAAAACACGTAGGAACTTGGTACGTAGGAAACTTCAACCCCTGGGACAAATTCCATTGAAAAGACGAATTCAGAGGTTACAGAGGGAGAGCAAAAGTACCCAATCACATCCGCTTCTTTCCTTAGAAAAATAAGCTAAAAATACCACAAGGATGAATTTTCACTCTGGAGCAGCTCAAGAGTTGTTCCCAAATAAGTAAACAACTTCAGAATCAAATCCATAAACACAAACGTAGCCCAAACAAGCAGTAACAGGACAGCAAACTCACCTTGCTGGCTATGGACATGGAGGGACTGGGTGGAGGGCTCCGAGGGCTGCAACACAAGACCAAAGAAGCATTTTACACTTACTGTATCTTAAGCAGTTTTACTCTGGGAATACTTTCCAGCCAGTTATCTGCATCAGGGGGAGAGTTATTCTGGAGATTCCACGGTCCTGCCTTGCAACGTTAAAGGTTTAGGACACTTGGCTCTTACAGAAATAAGTATCCCTCAGGGTTTTACCGCACAGGGCTGTTGAGTTTTGGATGGAGAATCAGGATTTCCCTAGGAGACCTCTTCCTCAGCCTAACAGCCAGCTCTGGCCAAGCCCATCCCAGCTGTGCCTTTACTCACTTCCGTTGCACCACTGATGGGTTTGACCCCTCCGCGTTTCACACCACCCAAGGCAGAAATCTCTCTGCGATTCCTGTCTCATATCGATTTTGTTAATCTGTCCAGCCCTGTCCTTTGGAGCAGCCAGTGAAGTGGGGAAAGCCTTCCCCGTGCCTTATGCCTCAGCCGCCCCCGTGCAGCTGGAAGCCCACGTGGGGGGATTTCTTCACAGCAGGGAACGAAGCAGACGGGGCTGAGACACACAGACCCCTCTCCCACCCCGAGTAATCGCCCACAGAGCTCTGTCTCAGCAGCACTGTCAGCTTCTCTGCCCAGCTTCGGGACACCAGACCCCTCTCAGACCCAGGTTTCTGCCCCAAAACCTGAGACCGATCTCCATATTTGTACCAGCACCTTTCTCTCCCTTCAAGAGCCCCCACCCTGCTTCTGCTGCTCTGGGCCTCCCAAGCTCAGCCCCCCTTTGCTATGAGGGACCCCTTCCCATATTCTCTTCAGGCTTGGGATCCCCCCAGCAGCACCCCTGGGGTGCCACACTGCCCAGGAAGGATGTGACACCCCCCACTCTCACCCCTCCTTACAGCAGTAAGGGGAACCCCCCCC